GCTGTTAAATTTTGGTGATTGAAGATCGAGGGGGTGGGGAGATAATGAGGGTCGCTTGTGTCTCCGGTAGGGTCGGACTTAATGACGATTTTATTCGTTATTAGCATTTACAATTGTTTATAAACTCATCCCTACCCTCAAAATTAAGCCTTTTTCATTTTATAATAGTTTAAAAATATATATAAAGTTTTTAAAATAAAATGATAACAGATGGCACTACCAAAATGTTAAATGTTGCCGGAAAAGTTGAGCAACTCGTTGCTGGTTTTTATGCTTTAGTTGCATGAAGTTACAATGGCTTCAGTAAAGATGAATTTATTGCATAACCTTTCTGACCTAAGAAACGGTTATATTTCTATATTCTTCTTTGACTTAATGGCTAATTACTAGCAAATTAGAGTCCCAAATTTCTTATCGAAATTTATATATGTAATGTATTACAGATAGATTAAATAAGGATTCCTAATGTACAGTACAGTACAACACTTGCGACTACTTTAGGATGCATCGTGTCTGCTATGTAGGTTTAAGAACTAACAAACTTTGGTGAAAACTAGTTACCAGGTAAATATTATAGGAAATTTAAATAATAAAAAAAGGGGTCAGTCGAGTGGATTTGAGAAAATATTACCTTATTATATCCACGTCTGAAGATAAAAGTGTACAGTACGTTACTTCTATATGTTTACAACTCTGTTAGGTTGTAAGTTAATGAAATATTTCGTCGATATTATTCAAATTACTTAGCATATTTACCTGTGTATAAAGTGCACCCCATTTTTTAAAGGCATCTTTTGAAGAAATTTGTACATTATATATATATATATTCAAGCGTATAGGACACACTCCATTTTCAGAAAGTATTGTTCGAAGGGGAAAGTGTGTCTTAAACGCCGACATTACGAATTAGACTGATCTTAATAACTTGATTTAATGTTCATTTATACTTTTTAACTGAATATATTCAGCTTATATACGAATTTTTTTCTTTTAAATAAACATTAAAACCGGTTTCAGAATAACGCAACTAAAATATAATTCAATTTAAATCCTTTTTATTTACTGACAACGATAAGAAATTGCCAAAAATATATTGAACAACTTTCACCAAGTACAAAAAATTAGTAGAAAAAAAATAAAAAATGCAATTTTTCCTTTTATATAATAGTGAATTTATATAAGAAAAATTGCAGTTTTGATTACACTTAATCGCAATATCAGTGTAATAATTTGCTTTCTTACATTAAACGTGACACGTTTCTATGAGGAAATTAAACTTCTCGGAACCTCATATATGAAGGCAGCCTGTTCTTGATTTCAGTTTCCATTTTTTTCTTTTTTTAAATCTTCATTTCAATACTGGAAACACATTTAATGAAATAATGTACAGATGTAACTTTGCTACTCACCAGAAAAATCAGGGAAAATAGTTTATCGTTATCGTTAAACATTAAATTTTTACTTAGAAAACATTTCTATTTAAATAATTAATATTTTCCTACAATTATTCCATAACAATCAATTGGTAATACTGAATTTATTTCCATATAAAGGGTTTTTGAAAAATTTTCTGTATAATCAGGACTAAACTAGTCCATATATATTGTTTCAAAATGAACACTTCCTCAGCACTCATTTTGGGAATTATCAAATTTATATCCAAAATAAAACATTTTTAGTATTTTATAATAATATTTTTTAATTAATATGTTTTGAAATAGTTCTTAAATTCTACTGAAATAATATACTGTAATTTAAAACATTATTATATGACTACAACGAGAGAACAATAACTATTTTATTTACATAATCATGTTTATTGTTTATCTTTTAATAAATATACAGTAAAACGATTATTTTACAACTTTGAACAATACAGCAAATAAAATGTATTTATTTGACGAACTTTATATAAAAATTTTTTATTTTTTAAGAATTAGTCATAACAGTTCTTAGAGGATCAAATATAAATATATATTTGTTGTATAAACTGTATTAATTCTCATTCGTGCATTTGTTATTCAAGGAAAATATAAAAATCTGTGGGAGATTCTTAACGAAAAAAGTCATTTAAGATAATTACATTTGAACAGTATTGTTATTAATGATACATTTCTTCAGTACGTTCAGTGTGGTGTTATCATCAGAAAAAGTAGCTTGAAAATCAAGTTTCCGCGAGTTTTAAGAAAAATCTAATAGCTTCTCTGAATGAAAAGATGATAGGTTTTTTTCTCCTTCATTCAATGAAACGAGGGAGCATTAACTTTAAATACACTATCTCGTCGTTAATGGTAGGATTCTTATATAAAATACATCTACAGTTGACTTCTTTGTATAATGATATTTCCAATTTATTTACCCTGCTATCGATTTTCAATTTAACGGGGCTCAGATGAAGGGATGTAGAAGAACACTTGACACTACAACAGAGACCATCCAATATTTAGTATTTTACATGGGAAAAAAATGATACAAAAATGACTGAAAATCGGCTTTCGAAGAAGGATGAGGCCCCACATTTGTGACTGGTCAAGGCCTCATTTCTCCTCTCTCAGCCTCTGTCTTTAATATATATTTTCCAATTTTTTTTTTTTATATATTATTTTCACATGTTTTAACTGAAAAAAATCACTTTAAGATGATTCTCGGCTTTAACAATTGTTAGTGTTTCAGAAATATTCGTATTCTTTTCAATTAAAATAAAATTGTATAGAAAATATCCATAAATTCATATAATATATTCGAAATAATCATCGAATTATTTACAATTAAGCGCTTTCATTTACGGTTTCGTTTTCGTTTTCGTTTTTAGAAGTATGATATCAAATGTCTTGCAGTAGCTGTTAATAGAAAAGGAAATGATAATAACATATATAGATTATGAAATTAATAAATTAAGATTATTTATAATTTAGTTCTAAGCCTTTTGTTTAAATATTTTAATCGAATTTTATCGAATCGCTTGATTTTCATGAAACTACTAAAAATTTGAATTGACCTTTTAAGTTATTAAAGAATAATTTAATCCATTCAAGATTTTAAAGTCATTTTGTAGATTTTTCTTTGAATCTCATGTGTTCAGCACCTGTCTGGTTCCCCATTCATGCCCCAACCAGTTTTCACTTTCTTTACAATCTCCCATGACGTAATCGAAAATTGTGAAGTGCAGTTTCACCTGGTTTCTTCAGAATTAGCAAACAGACCAGCTGATTGCTAATATCCCAAATGAAAACTTTCATATCTCGAATCTTTAACTATTGTTTTCTTTTTTTTTTATTAATATAAATTATTTTATAAATAAAATATAAATTATATGTTTATACGATTTTAGAATAGAATGTGCTGTGTGGATTTATTCTTTTAAATATTTATTATATACAGTTAGAAAGGCCGATCTACCTGTTTAGCTATGAGAAGTTTTGTGTAGGAAGTTAAGCCGTTCTGAGTTCATTCAACCTTACAATATTTATTTTGTTTTTTGAACTGTTCGTTTGTTACGTCATTTCAGTGGAAAAAACTCTATCATATTGCACAAGTTCGATTTAAAAGAAAATATTTCCAGTTCTATATTATCATTTCCTGTATAAGTTTTTCATATTTATTGCTTACGATGATTATTATTCAATGCAATCTTCTTCATTTTCCTTAACTTTATAGTCTTGAGAAAACAAAGTTATAGCCAAGAATTTTTTTATTTTCTTTTTCTAATTGCTATCTATTAATAACTAATTTGATTACAATACTTTAACTAAATAAGTAACTATAAAGACAAGGAAATTGTTTAGAATATTCGAAATTATCTAGAATATGTTCAAATATATAAATAGAAAGGATTATTAAAGATAAAATATTGTTTTAATACGAATGAATCAACCAAAATAAGCTGCTCAATACATAGAAAGTGGGCCTTAGGCTGTATCTTAAATATATATAACTCTATATGTGTGTATATATAAGTTTTATATTAAAAAAAATAATCCTGTTTAACTTTATACAATGATATAGATTAAACAAGTTATATATAGCGTAGATTTCTTTAGTAAATTTAAAAATTTTTTAATACCTTCTTCTATACTTTATATACCAAATTTATAATGCTCAAACTTCCCTTTCAAGATAATCTATACGTTCTAAAATTTATCATAATTGTGCCTGTGGCGTAACTAGAACTCTTGGGCCTCTAAAAGTTTTCTGCGCCTCCCCGGATTTACACAACTCCAAGAAAAAGGGTTCCCTATCTGCAACATATATGTTTTTTACAGAGGTAAAAATCACAAGTTTCTATTTTCTTTTTTAATTTAAAATATATAAATCTAGTACAGAAGAATGTCTAAGGGCCCGAGGTCTCGCAGGCCTCTATGCGACTGCATAGTACTAGATTATACGATTCTTACTAACAGTTCTTTTTAATAGAACTATTAAGGATACTTCAATATCGTAATTCGAATTTTCTATGAAGTAGTCCTACTATATAATTTGTGAAACGATGCGTCGATCCCAATCATGAAAGAATCGTCTCTTTATTTTCTAGAGCGGGCTTCATTGTCCGTCTAACCTCTTTTAAACAGGGTCGTGATTAATTTACAGGGAAAAAGCTTGATTAAAATAATTGGTTTAACAGGTGGTCAAGAAGGTGAAAGGCCGAATCTTCCTTAAACCATTCTTGAAATGAGAATATAAAAACATAGAAATTATACTGTTGATACACGTCTACAGTCTTTATGAGGGTTTAAAATTCTATTGGATGTTGTAGAAAACTGAAGTATTGTTATCTTTGTTTTCTTTTCTTGACAATGAAACTTTGTATAAAACTCTCTTTTATCTAAGGAAAGAGATGTTTATAAAGGGTCATTGATCGACTTCTTACGGCTGTTGACCGGATAAGTTCACCTGGACTCCATTCACAGACCGGTATACATCCCCGATTTTTGCTTTACTTTCCCTATAATTTTTATTTCATATTTTATTGTTAAATATATGTTTAAAATTCTTTAAATGAAATCATTTATTTACAGATATAACGTTAATTCATAAATTCGTAATTCTGAGAAAGTGATGGGTGGTGCTTGGGAGCAGCTAAGACTGCTCCTTTATAAAAATTTCCTACTAAGGACTAGACAACCGGTAAGCATTGTTTTATTTATTCTATTTATATAACATTTGCTTTAATTATATATTTTGTTACATTTATAAATTTTGCAATTACATATAAAACTAATAAAATAATCACTTAAGCTCAGCTCAAGCTGAAAATGCTCTTAAATCTTTAAAGACTTAAAGACTTTCTTAGCTCATGTTTCATGTCAGACACTAGAAATACAGAAATCCAGGAATGTATTCTCTTCCTATAATATTCAAATATTTATTACACACAATTCTTTACTCTTACTCAAATTTAAATAGTTTAAGAATGATTTTTTATAATATATTGACCTTAAAATCGAATTTTTCGAGACTAAGTTTTTCTCTTTCGCTTTCCAATAAAACTAGAATAGGAGAATTTTTATTGAGGTTAGTAGGGAGGAAACTTTTAAGAAAAGTATTGCTCCGGGGTTTATCTGTTACACTGTCATCAAGTAAGAAGTTATTTTTATATTATTTCTAAAGGCAATTAAAGTGTAGACTGTTGTGGGGTGTATTAGGTACAGTATATCGATCAAATTTAATGGCAGATTATAGCAAACTTGATGTACTGTACAGTTTCGAAGTTAGTTAAGTAGAAAGATATTAAATAATAAATCCATATATCGTTTTAAAGAAATTCCACTTTTTCTTTACTTTCATACCATTAAGAGTTGAACTCAGCCCATTTATATAGCCTAATTAACGAATGAATAGACATGAATTTTTGTGTAGGAACAATAGTTTTTAAGGAGCACACGTAGTTTAGATATTCTTGTTATGTATTATAATAATGATATTGGAAATTATATTATTTTTTCCTTTCGTTTTTATCATCGAGAAAAAATTTTAATATTTTCAAAATTATTCTAGAAATAGATATTTTACAATAAATCATAAAAATTCATGAAAATTACATAACGTCATTGTTCATTCATGCAATACGAATACATTTTGAAGACTCGCCTATACAGTTCCACCTCATTTGACCCCATCGAAATTAGGATATAACGCCTGCTTTCAATTTTCGAACTTTTTTTCTTGTAGGCCTATAAGGAAAGTGAATACAACATAAGTTTTTAAGTTCTACACTCATAAAGATCAAGGTCATTGATTCTCATAGAGGATAGTGCCATAACATTGACGTTTTCTACAGTTTTTTTTTATAGACTTTTAGAAGCTAGTTCTTATGTTTTCTTAGATTTCAGTGCAGAAATTTTAATATTTATGCAGGTATAAATGCAATAAAGTTAGTTTTTAGCTTGGAAAACACTTATATCGCCTCAATTATCATCAAATACTGTGGCTTTATAAAATTATTTTAACATTATACTCCACTTTTCTCCTAAAAATTGAATATACATTTGACGGTGATTCTACGATCCAAAACTTCATTCGTGTATAATTCATTAATAATTATATTAAAAAGAACATTTAATTCTTTTAGATAAATGTTTTAAATATAAAATATACAATTCATTAACATGAAAAATTATTCAAAAATAATGGAAAGATAGAAAACAACACAATGAGAAAAGATTATGTAAAGAAGTAGTTCATAACACATAACTTGAGTAATTTTAGAGATTTTTATACTAATATTTATCCCAAATAACTTGAAATTCTTAACGTAGATATAAAAAGATCACGAATTATAGTGTCCTGAATTGTTACCCTGTTTATAAATTTTAATAATAGTAAATTAGTTCACACAGGCAACTAATAACAACGAAAACATATCACATTACTTCAAATAAAGGACGCACCTACACTGTTAAAGGCAATTTTTAGGAAAAATTGGAAGATAATTGAAATAAATATAGTTTGAAACAGTTATTAAAGAATAAAAATGTTAATAATGAATTTAAAATAAGGAATAATTAGTAAAAAAAATATATATAATAAAATTACATAAAATATACATCATACAATTTATTTAATACTATTTTTACATTTGGTTTATTATTTACGAAACAATTTAAAAATATAAGAAACTCATTGCTAGAGTAAGATTTCAAATCTAAGATTATTAAAGATCTTAATCTTGGATCAGTCTATAAAAATGACATGCATACTTCTTGAAGAATGCTCGGAATTTAAGACATACCGAACTTTAAACTGTAAAATTACACTTTAAATACAATATACTGTATAATAAACAGAACATAAATACAGAATAGTTACATTTGTAAAGAGCAGCAGCTCCCAGTCTGTAGGATCTGTCACAATGTGATCGCTTATCTTACCTGTAATCAATAGAGATTGGGAGCTTACCGTAATCAGTAGATTGGGATCAGTATCAGTAGATTAGAAGCCACAGTGTAATCTCTTATCTTATCTGAGTAATTTTATGATGATTTCGTATTATATGAAGATATCGCCAAGCAAAAAGAAGAAAATAATAATTCTAAAATCACTTTTATCAATGAAATTTAAGACATAAATGGTTTACTAATATAATTCAACATCCATACTAAATTATAATTTCGCAAGAGTATACAATTGTTTTACGTAACTTTATACAATGAAAGTCTCTTAATGATACTAGATATGAAATTTTAGTTTAGCAATATGAGTATATTATTTTTTATTGTTTCGTAAATAAATGAATAAATTTAAAATTGTTTAAAATGATACGCATTTTACGTAATTTTAATTTTATACATTAGAATGTAAAAAGTTATTTTATCTTGGGTAATCTATCTTTATTCAAAAATGCATAGAGTGAAAGGGTTACAAACCTACATTAATTCGAACGTATTATTTATAATAAGAAATTGTGACAATAATATTGTGAAAAATTCTATAATTCAAAGGTAAATAAGTAGAGAAATGTAATAAGATCTGTGCTGTTATTTGGATCAGAAACATGGGCTCTAAGAAAAAAGAAAAAAATGATGGAGAGAACAGAGAAAATGTTGAGATGGATAATGGGAACATAGTTAAGAGAGAAATTGAAAAGTGGATAACTTAGACAATAATAAGGATAAATAATATTAATGAGAAAATAAAACAAGAAAAATTTATAATCATGCTTAAAGAGGATATAGAATAAATTAATAGGAAGACAGTAATTGAAGTATCAAGCTAAGAGATGATAAAAAAGCAAAAGATGGCAACAACATGCTAATATCTCTTCTAAATTTCGGATAAGATGAGAAAAACAATAAGGAGGATGGATTTAAAATTAAGAAACATTTATTTGTAAATAATTCACTATGTACTGTACTACATTAAAGTCTTTTAAATGCTTTTTATATGGCGATTTATACAGATTGAAATCTTATAAATAACAAGAATCAGACTTTTTGGTGATTATAATTCACAAATGGGAAATATTGACTTATAATTCTTCATATTCAATTATTTCTTGCTTTTTTTTGCATTATAAATCTTAAATATTTAAAAAGCTAAGCTTCCCTGTCGACATTAATGTTTATCAATTTTAATTTGGTAGCAGAATCTTTTTGATTTTAAATATTATTTGAGAAATTCGTTCACACACCCCTTTGATATTTGCTTCCCCATCAAACTTTACTGCTCTGCAGCTAAGTTGCAAAAACGTAATTATTTATTATTATTATTTTAAAAGGAAAATTTAGAAGGAATTTAAAAGAATTTTAATAAAACTCTAAGCTAGATTATAAAATTAATAAAAAATCGAATTTAAATTATATAGTGATATGGATTATTGCATTGATCAATTGATGTATTCACAAATAAAGATGTAATACGTTTACCATTTTAAATGCTGAGTATACTTGTAAAATATAAGATGAATTGTGGAAAATGCAATAAGATACGTCACAGAGAATGGAAAGGAAGTGATTTAGACAAAAGAGAAATGTAAATTTCCACTAAACAGTAAAAATCAGAGTATCATCATACTAACTGTGCTGTTTTTTTTATTTACTGTGAAAATTAAGTCTACTGATGCATACACATGACCTTGATTATTTTCTCTAATAAATAGTATAATATTCCGAATTGGAAGAAAAATCCTTTCAGATTTAAGTATATTAAACATATTTTCCATTCTCAAAAGAGTAGATTAAATCTGAGAGGGTCAAAAAGTAACTTTACAAGGTCCACAGTTGAAACCATTGGGATTCCATGATTTTGGTGGATTGTTTGCAGCGTGGGTACGCCGTTTAACACCCTCAAAACGGGCCATTGGAATAATATGTTCTGAAAATTTTAGCTATGTTTTATTCTCTACGATAACTCTAGACAGCATACGACTGTACCGGACTGTAGATATGATTCAGAAGGGCCATCAAAACTTATATCTAGTCTCTTCTGACTTTCAAGTTTTCCTACATTTGTTTCGCCATTAATAAAGAAGTGAAATCTGTAGTCGTTGAGTGGCTGCCACAACAGGTATAGGAATTTCTTAAGAACGGCTCGCTATATGTCGTAACAAATCCCTGAATAGGCTGGGAAATTTTGTTGATAAATTGTATATTGCTTATAGATAAATTGTCTACGTTTTCACTTCCACAAAAAAAAATACTTGACTGTGTTATTGACTTTATAAGGTTACTTTTGAACATTTTAAACACTCCAAATTGGTTAAAAATTATAGCATTAATACATATCTATTATACTTACACTATAAAAGCAATACACTATACTTACACTCTATATAATAGGAGAAATGCTATCAACTAAAATTATTTTTTTTTGTTATTAAGAGTATACAATTTTTTAATAATATTAAAACCGATCCCATTGTTTTTAATTTTATGAATATTTATAATTTTTTTGTTCTTTTTGTGCATAATTTATAAATATATATTTCTATGCATATTATATTCTTATCTAATATCTATTCCCATCTTAAACTGTCATTCTCTACCATATATTTAGAAATTATGATGATATATCACTGAAATTTTCGCTCATTTGAACATAAATACCTTAAACAGACAGCAATTATGAAGTGTTAACACATCATTCATCTTATAACCGAGCTATTGTTAAGTTCTCATATTTCTCAAGCA